ACTAGTGGTGGACCGGGCCCGGTTTGAACTTGGGCCCGGTTCGGGCCTGGGCCTGGTTCGAGCCTAGGCCCGGCCGAGCCTGGAAGGTCTTGGGTAAGGACCGGAACCGGCCTGGTAGGCTCCCGGTTCCGGGCCGGTCTTGGTTATTTTGGTTTTTGTGTTTTATTATTTATTTCAAGCCCTACCCGCCCACCCCCCAAACCCCTTGGAGTCACCCAGCTTAGCCCAAACCCAAAAAAAAAGAGGTCCGAACCGGCCGGGTCGGTTCACCTTTTTCTTGCACCGGAACCGCCCCCCACCCCACCCTCTTGGGTTGGGCGGCTCGGAACCGGTTTCCTGTGCCGTTCCCGCACATTAGCGGGTCTGGCCGGTTGGATCGGACCGGGTCCACCACTACCTAAAACGAACAGATTTGAAACCCTTCATATCAAAAGAATTCCGAAAATCTAAACATTGAAACCAAATCCACTCGGACTAAAACTAAAGTTAGTACTACAGTACTACTGTTAAAGAGAAAATAATATAGAAATAAAATCTTTCTACAAAATTCTTCCTGGTATGGAGGTGGTTTTGGAGGAGGACGAGCTCTTGCAATATGGATGAATACAAACTCAACCACAGTCGAAGCGGCTGACCAAGGCTTCATGATCCAGCACCGAAACAAAATTCCATCTGCAATTTGTTCATCCGTCAACGTTATCTCCTCTGACATAGTTACAATTAAAATAAAAAAAATCTGCCGCTCCAACCCCATATTGATGGGGCAGCGGAACATTTCAACCCCTACAAAGAGGGGAGATGACCGCTAGGTTTTTAGAGAGAAGTGAGAGCTCTCCTATAATGTATTAACTAATTAACCAGTGAAATTCTGCTTTTATTTTTATTTGAAATAATTACATATTAATTACTTAAATAAAGGTTATTTATAGAAATGTGATTATAGTAGCAAGTGTCCTACAGTTGCGCTGCCATCTTCCTGAGGGCCAGGGTCCGACGGAGCAATCATAGAAAGCCAGCCTGTCAAGGAGACAATATCGGCTGCACTTGTGGGTGAAAAGGGGGGGGGGGCCAGTACGCAGTGGAGACCAGGGGTACCGTCACATGGGATGACCTCGTTCGGATGGATAGAGACAAAGTGGTGACCATTCATCCCCCTTTGGTTACACTCTAAGACACTTTAGATACGTCAATAATTGACTCAGATATCAGTGACCATAGGGACTCCGTTGATTTAATTCTAGCATTGACGGATGACTCAATTAAAGAAAATTTTAACTTTTTTGGAGAGGAAGGCTTTGATTCCGTCAAGATTGAATCAAAATCATTTAGATTTGCAGACAGACAAAATGAAATTGTCATATTTGAAATTAAAAAATCCTGGGTGCGCAAGATTAATTTCAAAAAAGAGCAAGCACCCGACATCTACAGATTTATAAACCACCTCACCGGATCAGATAATTTTAGGGAAAGCAGAAGATTTGGTTCCATCACGGTCTCTTCAAATTTAAAAAACTCAGGCCGGTATGTGAAGATTGCTAATGAAAAGGGGAGCTTCGTAATAATCCCCATGGGCCCAAAAAACTCCAATTTAAAAAATTTCATGGCAATATTCTCTAATTTTATTGGACCGGCTAATTTAGTGCAGGAGACAACAATGGATTGGCTAGAAGAAAACATTTTAGTTACAGAGGAGCCAAAATCAATATCTAAACTTATTTTCGACTCCCAAATTCAAGGAGCCTACTCAGAGAATCAAAGGTCTCCAACTCTAGTAGAACGGCACAGGCTTGTTCAGGCTTACTCAGACGCATCAGACAACTTTTATCAATCAGATGATTCTTCTTTTATGGACGACTTTCTGGGACATGCCACTGAAAGCGATCGTCGTCCCCCTATCTCAACTCCAGGAGAAATCACGAAATCAAAATATAACAGAGCAATCTGCAGGAAATCAAAGTTTGTTACTTCAGAAAATTGCCTGCCAACGGAAAACCTAAACATGCAACTAAAAATCCACAGGAAATCTCAAAAGAACAAAAGGAGGCACAACATGACTACTAGGTCTCAGTCAAAAGAATTTCCGTGGGTGTAGTTTTAGTCTTTTCTTTCTCTGTATCGTTTTTTTTCTTTTATTTTCTTTTTATCTTTCTTTTTCTGTATTTTCTTTCTCTGTAATGTTAACTTTTTTCAATAAAATTTTCTTTTTCCAAAAAAAATATGGAGTATGTTTCAACAATTTATTTGAATATTTATTATAGAAATCATAATTATTTTGAAATGGCTGTAATTTTTTAAATTGCAATTATGATAGTTTTGGTAATAAAAGAACAATGCTTAAGATTAAAAAGTCAAAAATTGGGCAAAAATTAAGTAAAAATGAACAAGCATGCATTCAGAAACAAAATTGCAAACGGCAGACTCCGTAACCTTTTTATATTCATGTCAGATAAGTTTTATGTAGACAGCTCCCATAAAACTTGTGCGAATTGGAACTGGAAAAAATCAGTAAAAATAAGTTGTGTTTAATTAATTAATTTGTTAAAAGTTGAAAAATCAGAACGTAACTTTGAATATATGTTTATTTATTGGCGTTGGAATACAAAAAGGTTGGAAAATGCATTGAAATGTGAAAAGTTGGAAACACCGGGCTACGCACTGCATTTAATTTAATGTCCATCAGTCCATTTTAGAAGAGTTTTATCGAGAACTTGCTGAGCAATCTATCCCAAGAGGTTTTATTTTATCCTAGGGAAAGAAATGACCCAATTGGTTTTGGTGTCAACCTGCTGAGGAAGAATCATTTTGTTATTATATTATGAAAGATAGATAGAGAGTATCAAATAATGGTATATATATTATTCAAATAAGGATGGTGGATAAAATCATGACATATTATATAGAGTGGTTTATTATAATTTTTAGTAATTGTATTTATGTACAATTGAATTTTACATTAGAATTATCATAATTATTCATACATATTTTGTCATATCAGCGAGCCGTTTCTCGAGGGCGCTGACCTTACTCAGAAGTGCATCATAATTGGGATGCTGGGAGGCATGGGCCGCTGCGCGCCCTGTAGCCTCTCGGGCCTCCATATCAGCGAGCCGTTTCTCGAGACGGGCAATGATCTCGTCCCTGGGGTCCCTGGTGGCCGCAGCGCCACCTAGTGGAGGTTGGATCCGGGCTGCGTGGGCCTGGTCGATCTGGTGACGCGCATCGTCATCATCCAGCTTCCCTTTGCCTTTGTCTAGTCGGGGCCGATCCGTTGTCCGGGAAACGGACCCGAAGCTTTCCTTAGGTGATCCCGGCTCTCGACCACCCAACCGATCCGCCACCCTTCCCGTAGGTACCCGACGGCTCGCGATGTCACCCAGCCTGTTGAAGGCCGAGATTTTACCGCGAGGTTGGGCCGGTGTACTCCGAGTAGGAGAGGCAGTATGGGAATGGGTGTCCACAGCGAGGACGCCTTCGTCATTGCCGAAGAAGGTGACGCCTTGTGGACGAGGTGGCGGTGGTGGCACCGTCGTGACCTCTCCAGTCACAGGAGTGTTGTTCTCCCCGGTCTTTGCGACAAGAGCGCTGACCACGTTAGGGTCCTGGAGGATGCTTGCGACGATGGCCGATAGTGCGGCCGGGTTGATCTGGGGGGGCAGTAGGGGGAGAACCCTGTTGGCCCGAAGCGCGGTCAGCAGTGCGTCTGTCCTCGAGCCCGATGCGGGCATCTGGAGCAGTCCTGTTAAGTTGGACGCGGAGGTCGGCCGCCGCGTGTTCAACTTCCTGAGCATCTTCTTCATGGACGTTGGGGTCATTAGGGACGTTGTCAGCAACATTTCCCTGCCCTTCCTGGTTCAGGGGGGCATTCCTACCGGTGTTCTTTGACCTAGTTCTTGTCATTCTGTTGCGTCTAGTAGCGACGAGGGGTACTCACTTGATCTGTTCTAAACTCTCAACGAGAGCACCAAATGATAGAGTATTAATTCTAGAGAGAAGTGAGAGCTAGAGAGAGAAAGTGAATAACTATATTTCTCAACTTGGAACCCCCTATAATTAGCCGCTTGGGGTCTATTTATAGGTAAAAATGTGGATTTGGGCCCCTAGCCTTGGGCTTAGGAGGCCCATTACAATAATCATGCCTTCTTTGGGCGAAATAAGGCCACTAATGGGCTGTGTACAATACTTAGTAAATACAATGAAAAATACATTCTGCCAGGATGAAGTCCGGACGATGCGGTCCATGGACGATGCGGTCTATGGACGATGCGGTCCATGGACGATGCGGTCATTGGACGATGCGGATCCTGGGCTTCGTCCATATAATCCAGGAGCTATCTCCTTCCTTGGACGTCGCGTGCCTTTGGCCGATGCGGGTGTCCCGCTGGTGTCTTTTGGGCTGTTGAGTATGTGGGCCATGGGGTCCAGACCCATATACTCTATCACTATCAGTCGATCACTAGGTGACTACGTACGGTAGGGATTTTAGTAATCGGAGAATCAATTATATTCGAACAAACAATTATGATAAAGTGTTTGCGATTGCTTCTACTTTAAAACGGTAAATTTTTAAAGTAATTTTGGAAAAATTGTTTAGTAGTAAAAGTTGGCAGTGTTTGAAAAAAAAAGTGATTATGAAAAAGTAAACGTTGGTAGTGTTTGATATAATAAGTGTTTTTTGTGTAGTAGAAAAAGTGAAAAGCAGTTTAAAGCACTTCTCAACCTGCTTCTATCTTTTAGTTTTTAAGTGATTAATTTAATTAGAAGTTGTTACTTGAAAACACCAATTTCAAGTTTTTTAAAACCAAAAGTTGAAAAGTGTTTTTTTTTTATGTTTTTGCACACACCTTGTGCCAACGTCTTTGTCACTCATATTACTACTCAAAGTTGTTGGATAATAAAAAGAAGGAAAATGGAAATTTTAAAAAGCAAGTTGTGACAACATACATTGCCTTTGATTTACTCACGACAAGTTCGCCTTGTGCGCTGATTTATTGCAATAGTTTTTTATCGTCAACTAGCCTTCTTTCATATCATAAATTTCCGGATCATTACATCAGTCAAAGGAAAAACAAACCGACACCAACTAAATTCCAAAAACTACGACTGTAAATTCAATGATCAGACTTAGAGACGGTCACCCCTGAAAGAGCAACGCGAATCGCTAACCATGTAGCGGGCTTGACACAGCCATCGAAAGCCGCACAATTCTCCTCGTCCCGCTCTCTTAGCAAATCCACCGCCAACGGTCATCTTCATCGTTGCGATGCCCTTGCCACCCAAACTCATTCCCCCCCCCCCCAAAAAAAAAAAGAGAACCAATCGGATATGCCCACTGCACACCAACAATCCTGTCCGGAATCCGAACGTTTGGAAGACAAAATCCGGCTAAATTGCAAAGCAACGCAAAACTGTTCGAAAATGCAGCCCCGCGCCGGCCAAAACTTCCAAGACTTGGGAAGGTTTTTGAAGAGATTGTATGCCAACCGAAGAAAAGCAGCCGGCCGAAGCCGCTGGAACCCACGACCTGAGGAGGTCGCCGTTGGAGAAAGAGCTAGGCGTTGCGTGAGGCAACCCTAGAGAGAGACGAGAGCTGCAAAGGGGCCTTGTTTATACTCTATATGATTTATTGCAATATTTTAGTGCGGTGACTATAACGTCAGTCAAAACTAACCCACTTTATACCAGATTAGTCCCCTAATAAATAGCTCTATGAACTCTATCTTAATCATCGTGTTATGTTATCTTTAAAATAATTCAATAATCACAAGCATCAACCCATGTAAAACTTCTAAATTGGCCTCCTAAATTCATTTTTGGTTTCAATTGCATGAAAAGTTTCAATTGCCTTTGATTTACTCACGACAAGTTCGCCTTTTATTGCAATAGTTTAGTGCGGTGACTATAACGTCGGCCAAAACAAACCCACTCTATACCAGATCAGTCCACTAATAAATAACTCTATGAAGTACTCTATCTTAATCATCGTGTTATGTTATCTTTAAAATAATTCAATAATATAATCTCAAACATCAACCCATGTAAAACTTCTAAATTAGCCTCCTAAATTCATTTTTGGTTTCAATTGCATAAAACTTTTTCTTTCCTGAACAGAAGAATCTCTACGACTCAGTGATAATTTTCGGAAAGAGTTAGTATTTCTTGTAACATCCAAATTTTTTGCATGTTGCCACCTCATGAAAGAAGTGATTCTATTTGGATTGAGCTTTTAATTTGTGGTGATAAAGTGCAAACAACACTTTATATTTTTATGACTTCACATTTTTTCTAAGTGGGTTATGTTATATCCCACATACTTGGATATTTCAGATTAAAATCACATAAAATATGAGTAGACTTAACTTAAATTGATTGGACATGACTAGACTTAAAACAAATCAAATCATACCAGCTTCGCTCTAAATAATAGAGGATAATGATATGCATAAGAAAATAAAATAATAATGATGTACTCAAAATGTCAAGAAAATTACTTTTTGTACACATAATTTAAGCACACTTTTCTGTATATACAGACATCTCGTTAATTAGAAACAAACAACAATTCTCTGTATACGCGGACGAGTGTAAAATATACACAAAATGTGTACATCCACTAATTACCTGTGGGCAGGCAACTCGTTTATAAAAATGCAACAATTATCCGTGTAGATAGAAGAGTTTGTCAAATGTGTGCAAATTATGTGTACCACAAGAATGGTTGAAATCTAAAACATGAATATGTCATGAAACCAGAGGTTCTAAACTCAAACAAGTCATACTATACAAAAATAACAAACTCTATGAGTTTCATGGCCAGTTCGATAACACTGAAATTGGCTCAATTAGTTAAAGTTTATGAAATTCTAAATGGAAGTATGGAAGTATGGAATTATCAATTAGTTGAAGTATGGAAGTATTATATTCTAACTATATTTTATTAATAGAGCGAGAAAAATTATTACTCATTCCAACGTCTGAAATGAAATTATGTGTTTGATTAAAAAAATATCCGATAAAACCAAAAACTCGGATACTAAACGAAATTTAAATATTCCCCATCACATTTCTAAAATATTTCAAAAGAAATGGATATATTTAAACTTCATCTCATCTCATGCTAGACACAAGTGAAAATTTATAAAAATGAAGGAATTATATGATAGGTAGTATTTATTAGAGTTTTAATAGACAAAAATTAAAAATGTGAACATCTCCTCAGTTCAGTATGAACAGCCCTCCCTCCGATCGACAGATACGAGTTCATGAAAGAGGAGCTGAACGTCCCTCCCTCCGATCGACAAACGCAATAGGAAATCCGGCGGATTTTGTTAGCGGCGTCGGGCTTGGTGAAAGAGCTGAGCTGAGCTGTTGGTGAAGGAAGCCAGGCCAGAGAAATGGAGAAAGTAAGCATTCACTAATTAGAATCAGTTCCCACACCGACGACGGAAGGCTGGGCGACTCCTGACTGGGTCTATAAATAATAAGGTACAGTTGCAGATATACTCACCCTTTGGGACTGACCAAGTCCCGCTGGGTTGGGCTGGCCACCCTTTGGGGCCGGCCCCGGCTCCCTCTTTGGGTGCCATTAGGCTTAGGTAGGTAGTTAGGGCTAGGCTTAGGTTAGTTTAGTCTTAGGCTTAGGTTAGTTTAGTCTTAGTCTTAGGCTTAGGTTAGGCTTAGGGCGGTGGGGGCGTTATGCTGCCTCCATGCCGTCCTGGGCCGCCCGGGGGGCGTTATGCTGCCTCGGTGGCGCCGCGTGGCGCCAAACCCCCCGTGGGGGGGGGTAGGGGGGGGGGCAGGAGTAGTATAGGGGAGTCGTGGGGAGGAAGAAAAGGGGGAAAAGGGGGTCGAGGGGGGAAGAGAAGGGGGGAAGAAAGGGGGATCAGGGAAAGAGAAACGGGGAAGAGAAAAGAAGAGTAATAAGGAATGTGTTGAGATATATAATAGGGAAACACAGAGTTATGATATCTTCTGGCTGGGTAACATTCTCCCTGGCTGGTGTGTGTATTAATTATGGACTATGTCATCTTGTGTATTACTCTTGTGCATTATTTATCTCCACATATGACTTGGTCATCTTGAAAATGAATACGTGTTGAGATTTTTCATACAAATAAAACAAAAATTGTGAGCCTCTCCTCACAGTTCTTTCAATAAAAACAGACAATTTAGGGACCACAAAGAAAGTGTGAAAGGCAACTCGGCTCAGTTGTGAATGCGGCTCAGTTGTTTTCCTCACGCATTGCACATGCTACTAGGGAAACGCAGAGTTATGATATCTTCTCGCTTCCCTTTCCAAACAGGAAAAGGAAAAAAGAGTGAGATGAACAAGATATTTTATGAACTTCCTCCCACTACTAATCTATGTGGCTGATCTGTAAGCATCTACCATGTTGGAGTGTTGGGGTTGTGATGCTGGAACTAATATTATGATCACCAAATGTGTTCCAGGTATGTTTTAGGGCACATGCTCTTTTGGATCAGCACCTAGAAGGGTGGAATGAAAGCTTAAAGGAGCTTGCATTCAAGTAAGTTCTGAATCAAAGCACCAACAACAAAGGATTTGGTACATAAACCCTTGAGATGATCTTTCAACGTTATGATGTCCTGTATTAATATCTTCAGTTCCTACTCTATGAAATGTACCAAGTGTGCTCTTGGAACCATAATGTCTTTTTACACCCTTCTATTCATGTCATTTTTAGTCTACCGTGGGGCCTTTTAAATCGCTGGCAATCCAGGACTCCACATTCGCATAATGATCCAGGTTGGATTTACACTGGTTGCGTCCTCACAATACAAATGTTTAATCAACGACTCAGATGCAAATATGGTGAATAAAGGAAACTGACCTAGTGACCTGAATATCAATTTCACTTCGATGTTCTCATTAGTGCTTCATGTTGCAACTACAAGTGTTTCGTTACTGATCAAAAATTGCCCATGGAATTCTGATTCTCTTTTCTAAGTTAATTTTGGGGACATTTTGTTATGTTCCATTTCATAATGTTTAATGTGATTTCTTCCGCTAATCGTTCTGGGTATTGGTGTATAGGAGCCGCAAGTTTATATGGGAGGAAATGTCTTATTTGGAGAGATGGTGGAGGGATGCATCAGCTGCAAAGAAAGAATCCTTCATCAATTTAGTACAGAATGGAGAACTAGAAATCGTAGGACGTGGTTGGGTGATGAATGATGAGGTAAGCCTGTGCTGTTAACGTAATGACACTTTTGCAATGGTATGCAAGTAATAATTTTTTCTCTTCAAGTGTTTCATATTTTTTCCCATTGGGATCTGGGAATGGTGAACAGAAAGCCATGTTTTTAACGGATCACAGTGGCGATTTGACATTTTTCTTAGTAAAATTTACCATAATGAATGAGTTCTAGGCTTCCAGCTTCTTGAAAAAATGGGTTTATTTGTCTGGTAACAGTTGATTAGCTGGTTTTACATGTAAAACTGTAATCATATTTGGTTCTTGTGCTGGCGCGCGTTCGGAAAGCTAGACTAAAATAATAATCTTTTGGACACGTTATGTCAATTTTACTGGGACCCTTGGATCTTTAGAACTTTATTTGCATTTTGCTCTTCATATTTGGTTTTCTCGTCAAGGAATCATTTTCCTTGCAATTGTCTTTCATTCATCTGTGAATTTCTCTTGCTTGTGCACCTGCAGCTTATTTTATTCTCTTTTTTTTAACAGGCTAATTCACACTACTTTGCAATCATAGAACAGGTAAAGTGTATAATTCTCTTGTTTTTACTCACATTCTTCTTATTCCTGCTTTTTTTAAAGCTGCTGGCTCGATATATAATTATTTATTTTGTGGTTACGCGTTACCTTTTTGGCATTAGTTATTGTCTAGTTCATAAGTGCATATTTTGATTACACATAATAGGGCTGCTTTATTGATACCACCCAACTTTCTTTGCTTTGAGTTTCTAATTGAAAACTGAAGTAATAAGCTGAACAGATGATGCCAACTGGAGAATTAGATAGAGATTTATATGGGGCCCAAAATGTTGCGGTTCTCATTTACTGAGTTGAAAATTGTGACGTTGTTGCATAATGGATGTCATCTCATTCTAGTTTCCATAATATGCTTTAAGTAAATCGTTCTTTTTTACTTTTTATTCATATTTAATAATTTGTAAACCCAGCGAAATAGCTGGGATTTCTTAATAACTATATATGTACTTAAGCATGCATATCACATATTCACATGCTGTCCCTATAAGCTGTGCTAAGGATCTTGTTTTCTGAATCTATTACCAGATAACAGAGGGTAATTTATGGCTTAATGAAACTTGCGGTGTTGTTCCAAAAAATTCGTGGGTGATTGATCTTTTCGGATACTCTCCAACAATGGCATACCTTTTTCGTCGTATGGGTTTCGAGAATATGCTCATACAGAGGACACATTATGAATTGAAGAAGGAACTGGCTTTGTATAGAAATTTAGAATTCGTATGGCGGCAGAGCTGGGATGCTGAAGAAACAACTGACATGTTTGCTCATATGATGCCCTTTTATTCATATGATATTCCACATACTTGTGGGCCTGAGCCTGCAATATGCTTTCAATTTGACTTTGCTAGAACCTATGGCTTTACGTATGAGCGCTGCCCTTGGGGAGAATATCCACAGGAGACCACACCAGAAAATGTTAAAGAAAGAGCACTAAAGCTGCTGGATCAATACAGAAAGAAATCAACACTATATCGCACAAATACTCTTCTTATTCCCCTCGGAGATGATTTCTGCTATGTCACTGTTGATGAGGCTGAAGCTCAGTTCAGGAATTATCAGCTTCTGCTTGATTATATCAATTCTGATCCGGACTTGATTGCAGAAGCAAAATTTGGTACCTTGGAAGATTATTTCCGGACTCTTCGTGAAGAGGCTGATAGAATAAATTACTCCCGTCCAAATGAGATTGGTTCTATTGAGATTGGTGGGTTTCCTTCTCTTTCAGGCGATTTCTTCACATATGCTGACAGACAGCAAGATTACTGGAGTGGTTATTATGTTTCTCGGCCTTTCTTCAAGGCTGTTGATCGTGTGTTGGAGCAAACCCTCCGCGGTGCTGATATGATGATGGCTTTCCTATTAGGTCATTGTCAGAAACCACAATGTGAGCGGTTACTTACCGGATTTTCCTATAAGTTAGCAGCGGCTAGGAGGAACCTAGCGCTGTTCCAACGTCATGATGGGGTTACTGGTACAGCTAAGGACCACATAGTTAATGATTATGGGGTGAGAATGCACATAGCTTTGCAAGATCTTCAAATTTTCATGTCAAAGGCCGTAGAGGTGTTGCTTGGGATTCGCCATGAAAAGAATGAACAGAACCCATCTCAGTTTGAGGCTGCACAAGTGAGATCTAAATACGATGCTCAGCCAGTGCACAAAGCCATGTCTGCTCATGAAGGGACAGTCCAGACTGTGGTGATATTTAATCCACTAGAGCAGACAAGACATGAAGTTGTGATGGTAATTGTTGACAGACCTGAGGTGACAATCTTGGACTCAAATTGGACATGTGTGAGAAGCCAGATATCTCCAGAGATGCAACAACACTACAGCAGCAAGGAGGATGAAACATTATTCTCTGTAGACATCGTGTATACTGGAAAGCTTCGGTCCCCCCATTAGGGTTGCAAACTTATTATGTCGCTAATGGGTTTGCCGGTTGTGAAAAGGCCACACCAGCAGAGGTCAAATGGTTCGTGCCTTCTTCCAATATTTCTTGTCCCAAACCATATACTTGCTCAAGAATGGAGGGTGAAGAAGCAATAATCAGTACTCGGCATCAGACGTTGACATTTAGCATGAAGGATTGTTACAGAGAATTAGTCATACCAATGGCCGCCATAATGGCATTGCTTTGTTTGTAACTAGTAAAAGAAGTTGCTCTCTGGTTCATGAATCATGACTCTTCGATGACCACACATTCATTTATTTTTTAATAGACTGAGATCGTTCATGACAATATGTATTCTGATCCCTGGGAGCTCTGCCAAGCCTCACCACTTTAGGGCTACAAATAACCCAGTAAGCGATAAAGTTCAGCATTTCCTTTTTTCTATGTTTACTCGGATGATAATAATGGACAGAGTTGTTTATTGGTTAGTAACATTTTCATTCTTGCATTTCTTCACTCCTGTTTTACATTCTTTTATGAAAAGACATTTATTTTGCTTTACAAGTATAACGTCACTCATTAGTGGGTCCATTATCATGAAACCTACTAGGGTTCTGTTTCACCGGCTCCATGGAGATGCTCCGAAGAGTTCTTTTTGCATCTAATTAGAAACAGAGATCCTCTGAAAATAGAGTGAGTAGAGGGTAATTTCCTCTTCTGCCCAAAATACAATTAGCTGCTACTAGTGGATGTCACAAGGTTCTGGTCAACTTCTCTATTCCCTTTTTAAAAGGAAGACCCAGTGTGCATGTTGTAGAGGTTTCCAAATATATGGTCTTCGCGATTAGTACGCCAATTGCTACGTTGGAATCCTGTGAGTCAACCCATCACAAAGTTTTTTAAGAGATCATCATTGATACTTTTGAAATTTGGAATAGGTATAATTATATTTTAATAATTAATGCAATTTATATGTTTGAGTAGGAGGATCGACCGAGTGTACATGAAAGGTTTGAGTTAATTTGCATCCTTTGTGTATACGGCGGCCTATTTGCTATGGTTCAACAAATAAATGTCGACTGTTCGATGATTGTAATAAAGAGATGAGGAACTGTTGACTTGCTCAAAGAAGTGAATACCTGAAATGATTGAACACAATGTAAGTAGCAGAAAAACTGCATCCTACAAATGTGATTTGACTGTATCTTGCTTTGACAATGTACCCCACCCCTTGTGAAACATGTTAACTCTTGAAGTTTACTAAACTAAACTTCAGAATAATAATGATCAAACTTCACTTACTAATCAAAACTTTGAAATATTAATATTATCATAGTCATTATAACTACTTAATTATTCCTACTACTGCTGTCGGTAGACTCGGTACTATCCAGAATTGTTGATGCTAATCCGTGTCATTACTCTTGACGATGCTAATCAAGTATTACTCCTGTTCGCTAAAGCACCAGTTATTTTAATTCTTCTGCCTCCAGATATATTTGAAACTTGAAATCTAGTCTTGCCACAAGGGTTTTATTATTCTCCAACTTCGTTTCCTGAACTTCTTCTTTTATGGTCATTTGCTTTGAAGACAAGGATCGTGGGAGATGCTTGGAAGAATATCCAAGTTCTTTTTTGCTCAGGTTTGAATTAGATTATAAGATGCCCTTCTGTCATCTGTCAGGCACCCTTTTTAAATTAGAAATTACTCTGTCAGTCATTTTTACCTTAACCATCAATGGAACAAAGCTGATTACGAGTACAATTCTGAAGTATGTTAATTTCACTTCATCTACTATTGAGTTTCTTCTTTCTGACTGTTTATTGGTCTATCTTCCCTTTCCCTGTAACATCCTTCGTGGCTGGTGTGTATATTATGAAGTATGTTGAGATATATAATAGCCTCTCAGAGTCACAGGTATATGTTACTCCTGTTCGCTATGTATCTCCACATATGACTTTTCATAGACATCTTGAAAACGAAAATGTGTCGAGATTTTTCATAGAAATTAAACAAAAATGCAATTCTTTCAATGAAAAGAGATAATTTAGGGACCACAAGGAAGTGTGAAATCGGCAACTCGGCAAATAAGCATTACTGTATATTTTTTTATGAATGTAGAAGCTAGCCAGTTATTTTATATTTTGAATTCATTCATATTACTGGTGAATGTGGCTTAGTTGTTTTCCATACACATTACACATACTTCTTGGGAAACACAAAGTTATAATATCTTCTCGCTTCCCTTTCCAAACAGAAAAAGGAAAAAAGAGTGAGGTGAACAAGATATTTTATGAACTTCCTCCCACCTCTAATCTATGTGGCTGATCTGTAAGCATCTACAATATTGGAGTGTTGGGCTTGTGATGCTGGAACTAATATTAGGATCACCAAATGTGTAGGGACCACAAGGAATTGTGAAATCGGCAACTCGGCAAATAAGCATTGCTGTATATTTTTTTATGAATGTAGAAGCTAGCAAGTTATTTTATATTTTGAATTCATTCATATTACTGGTGAATGTGGCTTAGTTGTTTTCCATACACATTACACATACTTCTTGGGAAACACAAAGTTATAATATCTTCTCGCTTCCCTTTCCAAACAGAAAAAGGAAAAAAGAGTGAGGTGAACAAGATATTTTATGAACTTCCTCCCACCTCTAATCTATGTGGCTGATCTGTAAGCATCTACAATGTTGGAGTGTTGGGCTTGTGATGCTGGAACTAATATTAGGATCACCAAATGTGTTCCGGATAAGTTTTAGGACACATGCTCATTTGGATCAGCACCTAGAAGGGTGGAATGAAAGCTTAAAGGAGCTTGCATTCAAGCAAGTTCTGAATACAAGCACCAACAACAAAGGATTTGGTACATAAACCCTTGAGATGATCTTTCAACGTTATGATGTCCTCTATTAATATCTTCAGTTCCTACTCTATGAAATGTACCAAGTGTGCTCTTGGAACCATAATGTCTTTTTACACCCTTCTATTCATGTCATTTTTAGTCTACCGTGGGGCCTTTTAAATCGCTGGCAATCCAGGACTCCACTCTGCGTAATAGGGATTTAGGGCACTACCTACTCGTTGACAATCACACCCTCCTTCTCACCGATCTCCTTCCTCCTTGTCGATCAACGAAGCCCCGCAACCCTTGACGAAAACAAACAAACAAACACTGCCATTCTTCGTCCTCGACGAAAACGGGAAAAAAGCTCCAGCGGCGTGATGCCCTAGAGAGAAAACTCGCAGACCGCTATTCATTTAATTTGTTGAATAACGGGCTCAACACATTGTGTTACACAATATACCTGTTTTTGACAAGTGGAGGATGAAAGCTGATCCCAATACCCATAGTCGTTAAAGCCGGGGTGCATATTTGAGTTCCACTTCTACACGTTGATTAACATCTCTTGATGTATTTACTAATAAACAAGTGAAATTCTGCTTTTATTTTTATTTGAAATAATTACATATTTATAACTTAAATAAAGGTTATTGATAAAAATGTGATTATAGTAGCAAGTTTAGTTATAGTGATTTATGTTCAATTTGTACACTCAAGTGAACATGAGTCCATGAATTTATACTTAGTAATTTGTATTCATATTGTAAATAAATTATATGCAGTATTTTGATAATGTCTTCGAAAAAACCTAAATTCGTAGTTTGTGTTCCTACCTGACTGAAATGCGGTTGAAGGTTCAGGTCCGTCTGGAATCTGGACACCTCGAATCGGTGGGAAGCTACTGGGTGTTGGGGACTTGGGGGTTGTTTACATTATTACTAGTATTTGCACCCGTGCGATGCATGGCCGAAATATTTAATCTTGAACGTCTGTACTCATATCTTGCTGTTGAGACATAGGATTGTTCACTAAATTTTGAGGAGGGAAACTTCCATCTCACCTCATCAACAAGGCTCATGTAACCTGCAGACAAAAATCTAGATGTGCAATGAACTAAATTTATTGGAAATGTTTGGCTGTTGCATTTTACCACTTTGCAGGACCATAATTTGTGATGCAGCTTAAACTGTTGTGATTGTATTCTACAGGCAACTGAGAATCTTTGTATGGCAATGATCTTTACATTGGTCACATCAGCAAAAGAGTGGTTATCTGAACTATTTTCCAAGGATGCCAATGATGAAAATGCTGGAGAAGCTGAAGTTGCGAAAGATGAGGTATATTATTTAACTGTCCAACCTGTGGCATAAAGATATCTAATATATGTATCAAGATTGCATGTATCCGACATGTGTACTACAATTTTAGGACTTAACTAAAGGTTTCGAAATTGAAATGGAAAATGAGTTTCTGTCTTTAAGGTTTCTTCAAGTCAAGGCTACGTAATAGGATTGTCATTAGTAATTGCATGTTCTGTTTAGATGAGAATTTTGCTTAGCGTTCCCATAAATATGACTATCAAAACTTTCCATTTTCAATATGACTAAAGAGAATTAGCGCACCTATACCTAACCCCAACCTGACTTTCCACCAATCCACAATCCTACCATCTTCACTGTCCATCACACCCATCACCACCTGGCTTTAACCTCACTATCCAGCATCACAATTCAAAAAACACAAACGTCATCACTGCCCATCAAGACCAATCTAACCTCACTTCCTGCCACCGACGCACAACCCTAACATCTTCAATATCCATCCCTTTGCCTTCAAAAAGGACAAAAAAATCAGAAAAACATGATTGACCAATGGCCATCTATGTTTACTTATCACTGCGGACTGCGGTAAAAACAAGGAAAAACCAACTCCATCAACCATTGAAGATCTAGATCTTGAATCTCGATTTGCTCGAAAAACATCGAGGCCTAGAGGACTAGAGGGGTTAGGAAGCCATGGCAGAAAGCTTGCAAAGAAAGAGATGAACCATACCAGAAAATATTGTGAAGGGTGTTGATTAACAGTTCTACGTAACTCAATTGTTTTCTTTTAATTTTTTGATTGCATGGGTTGATTTATTACTTTGTAAAGTGTTTTGTGCACTAGTAGAGGATGAAGCCGTCACCTTAAATAAGTGGGATGTGGGGTTAGAGTGAGAAAGATAGTAAATGAGTTACGGAGTATGGTAACCATGGCTGGAATTTTGTGGGGCCTGGGTGGGGGAGAAAGATAGTATTATACTAAAATTGCACGGAAATTTACATGAGAGAGGTAGGTTTTTAATTAATTGGGTAGGGCATATTAGTGTAAAAAAGTTCTACTCTCTGTGACTCTTCTCCCAAATTAGACTTCCTGTTTTCCTTTTTGGTCTGTCCCAACTTCCAAATAATCTTACTCTTTCCTTAGAAAATAAATAAATAAATGGTTCTCATCATTTCACTCGATTCTACTCAAACCTACACCCCCTCTTTTACTTTTTAACCATCTTCTTAATAAGCGTGTCACCTAGGGAGTATTTTCTAGTGCTATTTATGTATGACAGAATGAGTCTTAATTGGAGAATGAAAACAGTGTTCTTATCTATGGATATACTTATATTTAGCCATATAGGGGTAATTATTTGTATATAGTCCTACATCCTCTCCAAGTTCCTGATTCGATTTTTATGTCCCCAAAAACTGTCATTATATGGTTAAACAGAGTTAATGTTTCATGTACTCCCTTCCCTCAAAAAAACGAAATTCACTATGATGAATTTATTTCAAACCTTGACCAAACATGACCCCTTATTTGGGACTTGGGAGGGGCAAAGTATCTCATAGAAGTACCTAGTGCAAATGATTAGCACTAAAATACTATAATAGTGTATGTACTTTTGAACTCTTTCTCCAATAGGTTTTTTTTTATTCAAGTGATTTTACATGTTTTTCTTCATGTCCTCACATGCATGCCAATATCATCTGTCATTCAGTTCACCTATATTTAGATCCATTCAAATTGAATGTGGCTCTATTTTTATTTCAGATGATTGTGCCTCATGGAGAACCAATGACCATTGAAATATTCTTGGCATGGAGGGAAAGATTTGAGGCAGAACAGGCCCTCGAAAGAGCCAAGTAAATAGAAAATGCTTGTGTGGCTCACTCATAAGCCTTGCAACCAAATCAAGAAAATTCATATGTATGTTATGGACCCCTATGAGTCATCACTGGTCCTTATCATACAGTTTTAAAAACTCGCTTCAAATGCAGTTAGCAATTACTCCTAGTACATTATGATGATGGTACACAAATATTTGTCAGAGGATGAAGTTTCCATTAAAGTTGTAAAGAACAAGGTGAATAGGAGGGCAATAAATATTTTGCCATAGAGTACACTAATCGTTTATTATTTCGTAGTTTATTGGATTTCAATCTTAAGCTTCTAATTTGTTCCTATCAAGATGGCCATCATGAAAGTAGCATGCATTATATTGTAATTTGTAACAAGACTATAATACTGAAGCGAAGAACATATAAAGCTAACCCTTTTGTTCATATGCATGGATGTAAAAGTTGCTTGCATTCACGTTTGCTTGTGTGTGTGAGTGACGATTGTGGAAGTCATGATAAATAAAAAAAATATACAGCTTAATGCCAGATTCAGCACTTTCAGCACCCAAAGAGCATCTGCGGTATATCTTTCAGTACTTTTTTACTATCTTCCTTCCAATGCACGCGTCTAGCATACTATATTAGTCCTGGCCCGCAGGAGTTGGGCCTATGCATTTATTTCATCAAGATTCATTGGATCTTGAGCACTATTTTCCAATGCTATTTGATCCAAATCTCATTGACCGACTGACTCTTTTCTTATGGAGATAAATAAATTCGTAATGGCTATATTTGTAACGCAGAAGATTGTATGGAAAAGGATAAAATGCTTAGGAAAATAGTTTTTTATTTTTATTTTTTACGTTCCATTTTACATTGAAAATATGAAAGAAATTCAAATTTAATTAAAAAATTTCAAAAATTCACAAAATATTCATATTTCTTATACTATAAGTATTTAAATGAATCATAAGTTCGGGCGAATATCTAAATTTATATGAGTGAACCTTTTTTATATTTTCCCCTACATTTTATTTCCTTTCAAAATTCAAACATTAGCTCTAGTTTCCTTTTTATCCTTTCCCTAGCATCTTCAGGGTTCCAATGTGACCCTATATACTATATACCAAGGGACCTTATATGTGTTCCCTTTCAAAGTCATAATGAAAATAATACACCAGGGAAAACCTCTATGCTTTTCTTTTTTTACCTAAATCTATTTTGTTGTTTGTTCTGTACAGAAGGGCGCAACGGCTGTCACTGCTGAAGAGTCTGATGAAGGCGAAGAGGATATTGATTTTGATGATGAAGACTTTGAAGGTCACTTCCAGCTTCACCTACTCACTTCGGAGTTAATAATAATAATAACAATAAGAAGAATAATAATATAACATTAGCAACAACACTAATTATATAATAATATACGAGTAATAATTATCTCGATGATCAAGCCAAATTAAATATAAAAAAAGTAATAGTTATATTATTATAATAATGAATAATGATAGCAGTGGTAGCGTATGGGTAGTAATGTCAATTGTCAACGGTAATGGTCAGCAGTAAGACTACTATGGAGTAGTAATAATAATAGGGCTAAAGGGTCAAATAGGCCCTTGAACTAACTTAAAGTGTTCAATTAGCCCCTTGTGTAGGAGGTTCTGCCCGGTCGTCGTCAATTGAAGTGGTTCCCGGTCGAATTTTTTGATGAAATTTTTTGAGCATCTTCTTCATTCAGTCTAGTTTACTCATACCAAATTTCAGCTAAAAATTCAACCGGGAGGGCAATCAAATGATTTTTTGAAGATAACTGCGTAGTTAAACAGCGCAGTACATTTCGGAAAATCATTTGACTGCCTTCTCGGTTTAATTTTTTAATGAAATTTGATATGGGTAAACTAGACTTAATGAAGAAGATGCTCAAAAAATTTCATCAAAAAATCCACCGGGAACCTCTCCAATTGGCGATGGACGGGCTGAACCTTCTATATAAGGGGCTAATTGAACACTTTAAGTTAGTTCAAGGGCCTATTTGACCCTTTAGCCTAATAATAGTCTTCTTTGTGTGTTTTGGGTAATCATCATTATCATGAATATAATACTAATCATCCTATATATTTTTCTTCTAACTAAAATTAAAAACCAGTTTTTGTGTTTGCAGTGGATGAGGATGACATGCTCGAGCATTATCTTGCTGAGAAAACAATATCACCCTCCAATTCGTAATTTGTAATTGTTGACCAGTTATCATGTATTGCTCGAAAAAACTATCCAATTCTTTTGAGGTAAGTTTTTTTAGCTGGTAATGTATCTCACTCTGGTTCTAAAGCTTACACTATTGAGAGAGAGAGAGAGAGAGAGAGAGAGAGAGAGGGTTGGGGACTCATCCTTGATATTCCCTCATTTTGAATTTTGATAATCGTAATATTCGTCAAGAATATTGAAGATCAAACAGTCACATACTATCGTATATCACTGTCAAGATAGTCAAACTCGAGATCCTACGTAGGATCGGAAGGGGACCTAAAGATCGTAAATCGTAGGATCGTGACTCGGATCGTAAGATCCTACAAATTCATACATACATGCATATATATGTATACACACACATATAGTTTTAATCGGATATTGAATATAGCTTACTAGTATTAATCATACTAATAATCATAATAAGTAGTCTAGAACTTAATACCAATTACAAAATACTTGATTCACTACCAGCTTTTTTTTTTAGAAAATAGAATTTTATTGAATGAAAAAAGCAGTACAAAACGAGAAAGGAAAAGAGTACATAAAATAAAGGAAACAAAGATCACTACTCCCAAGGGAAATCTCTACCCTGCGACCTAGTCTTCATGTTATGGCACTTTTTGTTCTTCTGAGACTTTCTGTAAATCTTGAGTTGAGTGTTCAAATTATTTGTTGGCAAGCAATTTTCTTGGGTTACAAAATCAGCTTTGTGACAGATTGCCCTGTTGAATTTTGATTTCCTAATTTCTTCGGGGTAAGAAATTGGAGGACGACGATCGCTTTCGCTTGCATGTCCCAGAAAGTCATATGTGAAGAAGGAGTCATCAGAGTGCTCAAAACTGTGAGAGGCGTCCGAGTAAGCCTGGATTGATGTAAATTGGGGTTGTTTTCCTGCAGAAAAGCCATGTTGGTTAGCGGTGCATGCCTCCTCAATTTGAAAATTTAAGATCAGTTTGGATATGGACGTAGGGTCCTCGGATTGAATTGCGCTCTTCAATTGAAAGGAAATTGATTCATCCTGCCCAAACTTTGGAACATCTACAAAATTAGAAAAAATATTGAGAAATTTTAGTAGGCTCGATTTATGAGGTCCCATGGGAATCTGAATGGAGCTCCCCTTGTGTTTGGCAATTTCCACGTAATCGCCTGATCTGTTTGTTTCTATAGAAACTGTGATATCTCCAAATCGCCTTAAGTGCCTAAATTTTTTCTGCTCTGAATTTGTGATGTGGGAGATGAACCGAATGATTTGGTGAACCAACTCACTCTTGAGTTCCACTTTGTGCAGCTGGGTTTTCTTAATTTCGAAGAGGACCAAATTTTTGTTTCTGATAGCGAATCTAAAAATTTTGGATTCTATACCAGCTCACTCTTGATTCACTACCGGCTAAGTAATAATAATAAACTAAATTAAGTTATTAATATATTAATATATAAAGTAACGATATTAAAAAGTGACACACTAAAATAATAATAATAGTAGTAGTAATAATAATAATAATAAGGCGAATTTATATTAAACACAAGAACACATACAAGTCAATACAATCTACAAACAAATTTTTCATATCCAATCATGAACCCCAGGAGTAAACATAGAATCAATCACCTCATACAAAGCAACATGACTCGCTAAACCTGAAACATGCAAATTTAAGTCTAAAACTAGTGGTGGACCGGGCCCGGTTTGAACTTGGGCCCGGTTCGGGCCTGGGCCTGGTTCGAGCCTAGGCCCGGCCGAGCCTGGAAGGTCTTGGGTAAGGACCGGAACCGGCCTGGTAGGCTCCCGGTTCCGGGCCGGTCTTGGTTATTTTGGTTTTTGTGTTTTATTATTTATTTCAAGCCCTACCCGCCCCCCGCCCACCCCCCAAACCCCTTGGAGTCACCCAGCTTAGCCCAAACCCAAAAAAAAGAGGTCCGAACCGGCCAGGTCGGTTCACCTTTTTCTTGCACCGGAATCGCCCCCCACCCCACCCTCTTGGGTTGGGCGGCTCGGAACCGGTTTCCTGGGCCATTCCCGCACATTAGCGGGTCTGGCCGGTTGGATCGGACCGGGTCCACCACTACCTAAAACGAACAGATTTGAAACCCTTCATATCAAAAGAATTCCGAAAATCTAAACATTGAAACCAAATCCACTCGGATTAAAACTAAAGTTAGTACTACAGTACTACTGTTAAAGAGAAAATAATATAGAAATAAAATCTTTCTACAAAATTCTTCCTGGTATGGAGGTGGTTTTGGAGGAGGACGAGCTCTTGCAATATGGATGAATACAAACTCAACCACAGTCGAAGCGGCTGACCAAGGCTTCATGATCCAGCACCGAAACAAAATTCCATCTGCAATTTGTTCATCCGTCAACGTTATCTCCTCTGACATAGTTACAATTAAAATAAAAAAAATCTGCCGCTCCAACCCCATATTGATGGGGCAGCGGAACATTTCAACCCCTACAAAGAGGGGAGATGACCGCTAGGTTTTTAGAGAGAAGTGAGAGCTCTCCTATAATGTATTAACTAATTAACCAGTGAAATTCTGCTTTTATTTTTATTTGAAATAATTACATATTAATTACTTAAATAAAGGTTATTGATAGAAATGTGATTATAGTAGCAAGTGTCCTACAGCTGCGCTGCCATCTTCCTGAGGGCCAGGGTCCGACGGAGCAATCATAGAAAGCCAGCCTGTCAAGGAGACAATATCGGCTGCACTTGTGGGTGAAAAGGGGGGGCCAGTACGCAGTGGAGACCAGGGGTACCGTCACATGGGATGACCTCGTTCGGATGGATAGAGACAAAGTGGTGACCATTCATCCCCCTTTGGTTACACTCTAAGACACTTTAGATACATCAATAATTGACTCAGATATCAGTGACCATAGGGACTCCGTTGATTTAATTCTAGCATTGACGGATGACTCAATTAAAGAAAATTTTCACTTTTTTGGAGAGGAAGGCTTTGATTCCGTCAAGATTGAATCAAAATCATTTAGATTTGCAGACAGACAAAATGAAATTGTCATATTTGAAATTAAAAAATCCTGGGTGCGCAAGATTAATTTCAAAAAAGAGCAAGCACCCGACATCTACAGATTTATAAACCACCTCACCGGATCAGATAATTTTAGGGAAAGCAGAAGATTTGGTTCCATCACGGTCTCTTCAAATTTAAAAAACTCAGGCCGGTATGTGAAGATTGCTAATGAAAAGGGGAGCTTCGTAATAATCCCCATGGGCCCAAAAACTCCAATTTAAAAAATTTCATGGCAATATTCTCTAATTTTATTGGACCGGCTAATTTAGTGCAGGAGACAACAATGGATTGGCTAGAAGAAAACATTTTAGTTACAGAGGAGCCAAAATCAATATCTAAACTTATTTTCGACTCCCAAATTCAAGGAGCCTACTCAGAGAATCAAAGGTCTCCAACTCTAGTAGAACGGCACAGGCTTGTTCAGGCTTACTCAGACGCATCAGACAACTTTTATCAATCAGATGATTCTTCTTTTATGGACGACTTTCTGGGACATGCCACTGAAAGCGATCGTCGTCCCCCTATCTCAACTCCAGGAGAAATCACGAAATCAAAATATAACAGAGCAATCTGCAGGAAATCAAAGTTTGTTACTTCAGAAAATTGCCTGCCAACGGAAAACCTAAACATGCAACTAAAAATCCACAGGAAATCTCAAAAGGGGAGTAGTATAGGGGAGTCGTGGGGAGGAAGAAAAGGGGGAAAAGGGAGTCGAGGGGGGAAGAGAAGGGAGAAGAAAGGGGGATCAGGGAAAGAGAATAAGTTGTATTTATTTAATAAAAGAACTGGTTATGGAGTTCTTTATGAAGTATGTTAATCTCCCTGGAGTTTGTATGAATTATGGAGTATGTTGAGATATATAATAGCCTCATAGGTATCAAGTTATTTATAAGGAATGTGTCGAGATATATAATAGCCTCATATGTTAAGTTATTCATACAAATAAAACGAAGATGTGACTCCCCTCACAATTCTGTCAATGTAAACAGACAATTTAGGGACCAAAAAGAAATGTGAAAGGCAACTCGGCTCAGTTGTTTTCCTCACACGTTGCACATACTACTAGGGAAACACAGAGTTATGATATCTTCTGGCTGTTGTTTATTGGTCTATCTTCCCTTTCCCTGTAACATACGACTTTTCGTGGTCATCTTGAAAACGAATACGTGTCGAGATTTTTGATACAAATAAAAAAAAATGTGAGGGTGAGCCTCCCCTCACAGTTCTTTCAATAAAAACAGACAGTTTAGGGACCACAAAGAAAGTGTGAAAGGAAACACATAGTTATGATATCTTCTCGCTTCCCTTTCCAAACAGGAAAAGGAAAAAAGAGTGAGATGAACAAGATATTTTATGAACTTCCTCCCACTACTAATCTATGTGGCTGATCTGTAAGCATCTACCATGTTGGAGTGTTGGGGTTGTGATGCTGGAACTAATATTATGATCACCAAATGTGTTCCAGGTATGTTTTAGGACACATGCTCTTTTGGATCAGCACCTAGAAGGGTGGAATGAAAGCTTAAAGGAGCTTGCATTCAAGTAAGTTCTGAATCAAAGCACCAACAACAAAGGATTTGGTACATAAACCCTTGAGATGATCTTTCAACGTTATGATGTCCTCTATTAATATCTTCAGTTCCTACTCTATGAAATGTACCAAGTGTGCTCTTGGAACCATAATGTCTTTTTACACCCTTCTATTCATGTCATTTTTAGTCTACCGTGGGGCCTTTTAAATCGCTGGCAATCCAGGACTCCACATTCGCATAATGATCCAGGTTGGATTTACACAGGTTGCGTCCTCACAATACAAATGTTTAATCAACGACTCAGATGCAAATATGGTGAATAAAGGAAACTGACCTAGTGACCTGAATATCAATTTCACTTCGATGTTCTCATTAGTGCTTCATGTTGCAACTACAAGTGTTTCGTTACTGATCAAAAATTGCCCATGGAATTCTGATTCTCTTTTCTAAGTTAATTTTGGGGACATTTTGTTATGTTCCATTTCATAATGTTTAATGTGATTTCTTCCGCTAATCGTTCTGGGTATTGGTGTATAGGAGCCGCAAGTTTATATGGGAGGAAATGTCTTATTTGGAGAGATGGTGGAGGGATGCATCAGCTGCAAAGAAAGAATCCTTCATCAATTTAGTACAGAATGGAGAACTAGAAATCGTAGGACGTGGTTGGGTGATGAATGATGAGGTAAGCCTGTGCTGTTAACGTAATGACACTTTTGCAATGGTATGCAAGTAATAATTTTTCTCTTCAAGTGTTTCATATTTTTTCCCATTGGGATCTGGGAATGGTGAACAGAAAGCCATGTTTTTAACGGATCACAGTGGCGATTTGACATTTTTCTTAGTAAAATTTACCATAATGAATGAGTTCTAGGCTTCCAGCTTCTTGAAAAAATGGGTTTATTTGTCTGGTAACAGTTGATTAGCTGGTTTTACATGTAAAACTGTAATCATATTTGGTTCTTGTGCTGGCGCGCGTTCGGAAAGCTAGACTAAAATAATAATCTTTTGGACACGTTATGTCAATTTTACTGGGACCCTTGGATCTTTAGAACTTTATTTGCATTTTGCTCTTCATATTTGGTTTTCTCGTCAAGGAATCATTTTCCTTGCAATTGTCTTTCATTCATCTGTGAATTTCTCTTGCTTGTGCACCTGCAGCTTATTTTATTCTCTTTTTTTTTACAGGCTAATTCACACTACTTTGCAATCATAGAACAGGTAAAGTGTATAATTCTCTTGTTTTTACTCACATTCTTCTTATTCCTGCTTTTTTTAAAGCTGCTGGCTCGATATATAATTATTTATTTTGTGGTTACGCGTTACCTTTTTGGCATTAGTTATTGTCTAGTTCATAAGTGCATATTTTGATTACACATAATAGGGCTGCTTTATTGATACCACCCAACTTTCTTTGCTTTGAGTTTCTAATTGAAAACTGAAGTAATAAGCTGAACAGATGATGCCAACTGGAGAATTAGATAGAGATTTATATGGGGCCCAAAATGTTGCGGTTCTCATTTACTGAGTTGAAAATTGTGACGTTGTTGCATAATGGATGTCATCTCATTCTAGTTTCCATAATATGCTTTAAGTAAATCGTTCTTTTTAACTTTTTATTCATATTTAATAATTTGTAAACCCAGCGAAATAGCTGGGATTTCTTAATAACTATATATGTACTTAAGCATGCATATCACATGCTGTCCCTATAAGCTGTGCTAAGGATCTTGTTTTCTGAATCTATTACCAGATAACAGAGGGTAATTTATGGCTTAATGAAACTTGCGGTGTTGTTCCAAAAAATTCGTGGGTGATTGATCTTTTCGGATACTCTCCAACAATGGCATACCTTTTTCGTCGTATGGGTTTCGAGAATATGCTCATACAGAGGACACATTATGAATTGAAGAAGGAACTGGCTTTGTATAGAAATTTAGAATTCGTATGGCGGCAGAGCTGGGATGCTGAAGAAACAACTGACATGTTTGCTCATATGATGCCCTTTTATTCATATGATATTCCACATACTTGTGGGCCTGAGCCTGCAATATGCTTTCAATTTGACTTTGCTAGAACCTATGGCTTTACGTATGAGCGCTGCCCTTGGGGAGAATATCCACAGGAGACCACACCAGAAAATGTTAAAGAAAGAGCACTAAAGCTGCTGGATCAATACAGAAAGAAATCAACACTATATCGCACAAATACTCTTCTTATTCCCCTCGGAGATGATTTCTGCTATGTCACTGTTGATGAGGCTGAAGCTCAGTTCAGGAATTATCAGCTTCTGCTTGATTATATCAATTCTGATCCGGACTTGATTGCAGAAGCAAAATTTGGTACCTTGGAAGATTATTTCCGGACTCTTCGTGAAGAGGCTGATAGGGTAAATTACTCCCGTCCAAATGAGATTGGTTCTATTGAGATTGGTGGGTTTCCTTCTCTTTCAGGCGATTTCTTCACATATGCTGACAGACAGCAAGATTACTGGAGTGGTTATTATGTTTCTCGGCCTTTCTTCAAGGCTGTTGATCGTGTGTTGGAGCAAACCCTCCGCGGTGCTGATATGATGATGGCTTTCCTATTAGGTCATTGTCAGAAACCACAATGTGAGCGGTTACTTACCGGATTTTCCTATAAGTTAGCAGCGGCTAGGAGGAACCTAGCGCTGTTCCAACGTCATGATGGGGTTACTGGTACAGCTAAGGACCACGTAGTTAATGATTATGGGGTGAGAATGCACATAGCTTTGCAAGATCTTCAAATTTTCATGTCAAAGGCCGTAGAGGTGTTGCTTGGGATTCGCCATGAAAAGAATGAACAGAACCCATCTCAGTTTGAGGCTGCACAAGTGAGATCTAAATACGATGCTCAGCCAGTGCACAAAGCCATGTCTGCTCATGAAGGGACAGTCCAGACTGTGGTGATATTTAATCCACTAGAGCAGACAAGACATGAAGTTGTGATGGTAATTGTTGACAGACCTGAGGTGACAATCTTGGACTCAAATTGGACATGTGTGAGAAGCCAGATATCTCCAGAGATGCAACAACACTACAGCAGCAAGGAGGATGAAACATTATTCTCTGTAGACATCGTGTATACTGGAAAGCTTCGGTCCCCCCCATTAGGGTTGCAAACTTATTATGTCGCTAATGGGTTTGCCGGTTGTGAAAAGGCCACACCAGCAGAGGTCAAATGGTTCGTGCCTTCTTCCAATATTTCTTGTCCCAAACCATATACTTGCTCAAGAATGGAGGGTGAAGAAGCAATAATCAGTACTCGGCATCAGACGTTGACATTTAGCATGAAGGATTGTTACAGAGAATTAGTCATACCAATGGCCGCCATAATGGCATTGCTTTGTTTGTAACTAGTAAAAGAAGTTGCTCTCTGGTTCATGAATCATGACTCTTCGATGACCACACATTCATTTATTTTTTAATAGACTGAGATCGTTCATGACAATATGTATTCTGATCCCTGGGAGCTCTGCCAAGCCTCACCACTTTAGGGCTACAAATAACCCAGTAAGCGATAAAGTTCAGCATTTCCTTTTTTCTATGTTTACTCGGATGATAATAATGGACAGAGTTGTTTATTGGTTAGTAACATTTTCATTCTTGCATTTCTTCACTCCTGTTTTACATTCTTTTATGAAAAGACATTTATTTTGCTTTACAAGTATAACGTCACTCATTAGTGGGTCCATTATCATGAAACCTACTAGGGTTCTGTTTCACCGGCTCCATGGAGATGCTCCGAAGAGTTCTTTTTGCATCTAATTAGAAACAGAGATCCTCTGAAAATAGAGTGAGTAGAGGGTAATTTCCTCTTCTGCCCAAAATACAATTAGCTGCTACTAGTGGATGTCACAAGGTTCTGGTCAACTTCTCTATTCCCTTTTTAAAAGGAAGACCCAGTGTGCATGTTGTAGAGGTTTCCAAATATATGGTCTTCGCGATTAGTACGCCAATTGCTACGTTGGAATCCTGTGAGTCAACCCATCACAAAGTTTTTTAAGAGATCATCATTGATACTTTTGAAATTTGGAATAGGTATAATTATATTTTAATAATTAATGCAATTTATATGTTTGAGTAGGAGGATTGACCGAGTGTACATGAAAGGTTTGAGTTAATTTGCATCCTTTGTGTATACGGCGGCCTATTTGCTATGGTTCAACAAATAAATGTCGACTGTTCGATGATTGTAATAAAGAGATGAGGAACTGTTGACTTGCTCAAAGAAGTGAATACCTGAAATGATTGAACACAATGTAAGTAGCAGAAAAACTGCATCCTACAAATGTGATTTGACTGTATCTTGCTTTGACAATGTACCCCACCCCTTGTGAAACATGTTAACTCTTGAAGTTTACTAAACTAAACTTCAGAATAATAATGATCAAACTTCACTTACTAATCAAAACTTTGAAATATTAATATTATCATAGTCATTATAACTACTTAATTATTCCTACTACTGCTGTCGGTAGACTCGGTACTATCCAGAATTGTTGATGCTAATCCGTGTCATTACTCTTGACGATGCTAATCAAGTATTACTCCTGTTCGCTGTTTATCTCCACATATGACTTTTCATAGTAATCTTGAAAACGAAAATGTGTCGAGATTTTTCATTGAAATGAAACAAAAATGTGAGCCTCACAGTTCTTTCAGTATAAAAAGATAATTTAGGGACCAAAAGGAAGTCTGAAATCGGCAACTTGGCAAATAAGCATTATATTTTTTTATGAACATAAGAGTTTGCAAGTTATTACGTATTCTGAATTCACTCAGGGAAAAATTGTTTTCCTGGGGGGGGGGAGATTAAAAGGGAAACCGGGAAGAAGAAGAAGAAGAAAGGGGAAACGGGTAAAGGGAGAGAGTAGAAGGAAGGAACGGGAAAGAATAGAAACTTAAGAAAATAGAAAAATAAGTTGTATATCCAGTTATATAATTAAAGCACCAGTTATTTTAATTCTTCTGCCTCCAGATATATTTGAAACTTGAAATCTAGTCTTGCCACAAGGGTTTTATTATTCTCCAACTTCGTTTCCTGAACTTCTTCTTTTATGGTCATTTGCTTTGAAGACAAGGATCGTGGGAGATGCTTGGAAGAATATCCAAGTTCTTTTTTGCTCAGGTTTGAATTAGATTATAAGATGCCCTTCTGTCATCTGTCAGGCACCCTTTTTAAATTAGAAATTACTCTGTCAGTCATTTTTACCTTAACCATCAATGGAACAAAGCTGATTACGAGTACAATTCTGAAGTATGTTAATTTCACTTCATCTACTATTGAGTTTCTTCTTTCTGACTGTTTATTGGTCTATCTTCCCTTTCCCTGTAACATCCTTCGTGGCTGGTGTGTATATTATGAAGTATGTTGAGATATATAATAGCCTCTCAGAGTCACAGGTATATGTTACTCCTGTTCGCTATGTATCTCCACATATGACTTTTCATAGACATCTTGAAAACGAAAATGTGTCGAGATTTTTCATAGAAATTAAACAAAAATGCAATTCTTTCAATGAAAAGAGATAATTTAGGGACCACAAGGAAGTGTGAAATCGGCAACTCGGCAAATAAGCATTACTGTATATTTTTTTATGAATGTAGAAGCTAGCCAGTTATTTTATATTTTGAATTCATTCATATTACTGGTGAATGTGGCTTAGTTGTTTTCCATACACATTACACATACTTCTTGGGAAACACAAAGTTATAATATCTTCTCGCTTCCCTTTCCAAACAGAAAAAGGAAAAAAGAGTGAGGTGAACAAGATATTTTATGAACTTCCTCCCACCTCTAATCTATGTGGCTGATCTGTAAGCATCTACAATGTTGGAGTGTTGGGCTTGTGATGCTGGAACTAATATTAGGATCACCAAATGTGTAGGGACCACAAGGAATTGTGAAATCGGCAACTCGGCAAATAAGCATTGCTGTATATTTTTTTATGAATGTAGAAGCTAGCAAGTTATTTTATATTTTGAATTCATTCATATTACTGGTGAATGTGGCTTAGTTGTTTTCCATACACATTACACATACTTCTTGGGAAACACAAAGTTATAATATCTTCTCGCTTCCCTTTCCAAACAGAAAAAGGAAAAAAGAGTGAGGTGAACAAGATATTTTATGAACTTCCTCCCACCTCTAATCTATGTGGCTGATCTGTAAGCATCTACAATGTTGGAGTGTTGGGCTTGTGATGCTGGAACTAATATTAGGATCACCAAATGTGTTCCGGATAAGTTTTAGGACACATGCTCATTTGGATCAGCACCTAGAAGGGTGGAATGAAAGCTTAAAGGAGCTTGCATTCAAGCAAGTTCTGAATACAAGCACCAACAACAAAGGATTTGGTACATAAACCCTTGAGATGATCTTTCAACGTTATGATGTCCTCTATTAATATCTTCAGTTCCTACTCTATGAAATGTACCAAGTGTGCTCTTGGAACCATAATGTCTTTTTACACCCTTCTATTCATGTCATTTTTAGTCTACCGTGGGGCCTTTTAAATCGCTGGCAATCCAGGACTCCACTCTGCGTAATAGGGATTTAGGGCACTACCTACTCGTTGACAATCACACCCTCCTTCTCACCGATCTCCTTCCTCCTTGTCGATCAACGAAGCCCCGCAACCCTTGACGAAAACAAACAAACAAACACTGCCATTCTTCGTCCTCGACGAAAACGGGAAAAAAGCTCCAGCGGCGTGATGCCCTAGAGAGAAAACTCGCAGACCGCTATTCATTTAATTTGTTGAATAACGGGCTCAACACATTGTGTTACACAATATACCTGTTTTTGACAAGTGGAGGATGAAAGCTGATCCCAATACCCATAGTCGTTAAAGCCGGGGTGCATATTTGAGTTCCACTTCTACACGTTGATTAACATCTCTTGATGTATTTACTAATAAACAAGTGAAATTCTGCTTTTATTTTTATTTGAAATAATTACATATTTATAACTTAAATAAAGGTTATTGATAAAAATGTGATTATAGTAGCAAGTTTAGTTATAGTGATTTATGTTCAATTTGTACACTCAAGTGAACATGAGTCCATGAATTTATACTTAGTAATTTGTATTCATATTGTAAATAAATTATATGCAGTATTTTGATAATGTCTTCGAAAAAACCTAAATTCGTAGTTTGTGTTCCTACCTGACTGAAATGCGTTTGAAGGTTCAGGTCCGTTGAGTCGTCTGGAATCTGGACACCTCGAATCGGTGGGAAGCTACTGGGTGTTGGGGACTTGGGGGTTGTTTACATTATTACTAGTATTTGCACCCGTGCGATGCATGGCCGAAATATTTAATCTTGAACGTCTGTACTCATATCTTGCTGTTGAGACATAGGATTGTTCACTAAATTTTGAGGAGGGAAACTTCCATCTCACCTCATCAACAAGGCTCATGTAACCGCAGACAAAAATCTAGATGTGCAATGAACTAAATTTATTGGAAATGTTTGGCTGTTGCATTTTACCACTTTGCAGGACCATAATTTGTGATGCAGCTTAAACTGTTGTGATTGTATTCTACAGGCAACTGAGAATCTTTGTATGGCAATGATCTTTACATTGGTCACATCAGCAAAAGAGTGGTTATCTGAACTATTTTCCAAGGATGCCAATGATGAAAATGCTGGAGAAGCTGAAGTTGCGAAAGATGAGGTATATTATTTAACTGTCCAACCTGTGGCATAAAGATATCTAATATATGTATCAAGATTGCATGTATCCGACATGTGTACTACAATTTTAGGACTTAACTAAAGGTTTCGAAATTGAAATGGAAAATGAGTTTCTGTCTTTAAGGTTTCTTCAAGTCAAGGCTACGTAATAGGATTGTCATTAGTAATTGCATGTTCTGTTTAGATGAGAATTTTGCTTAGCGTTCCCATAAATATGACTATCAAAACTTTCCATTTTCAATATGACTAAAGAGAATTAGCGCACCTATACCTAACCCCAACCTGACTTTCCACCAATCCACAATCCTACCATCTTCACTGTCCATCACACCCATCACCACCTGGCTTTAACCTCACTATCCAGCATCACAATTCAAAAAACACAAACGTCATCACTGCCCATCAAGACCAATCTAACCTCACTTCCTGCCACCGACGCACAACCCTAACATCTTCAATATCCATCCCTTTGCCTTCAAAAAGGACAAAAAAATCAGAAAAACATGATTGACCAATGGCCATCTATGTTTACTTATCACTGCGGACTGCGGTAAAAACAAGGAAAAACCAACTCCATCAACCATTGAAGGTCTAGATCTTGAATCTCGATTTGCTCGAAAAACATCGAGGCCTAGAGGACTAGAGGGGTTAGGAAGCCATGGCAGAAAGCTTGCAAAGAAAGAGATGAACCATACCAGAAAATATTGTGAAGGGTGTTGATTAACAGTTCTACGTAACTCAATTGTTTTCTTTTAATTTTTTGATTGCATGGGTTGATTTATTACTTTGTAAAGTGTTTTGTGCACTAGTAGAGGATGAAGCCGTCACCTTAAATAAGTGGGATGTGGGGTTAGAGTGAGAAAGATAGTAAATGAGTTACGGAGTATGGTAACCATGGCTGGAATTTTGTGGGGCCTGGGTGGGGGAGAAAGATAGTATTATACTAAAATTGCACGGAAATTTACATGAGAGAGGTAGGTTTTTAATTAATTGGGTAGGGCATATTAGTGTAAAAAAGTTCTACTCTCTGTGACTCTTCTCCCAAATTAGACTTCCTGTTTTCCTTTTTGGTCTGTCCCAACTTCCAAATAATCTTACTCTTTCCTTAGAAAATAAATAAATAAATGGTTCTCATCATTTCACTCGATTCTACTCAAACCTACACCCCCTCTTTTACTTTTTAACCATCTTCTTAATAAGCGTGTCACCTAGGGAGTATTTTCTAGTGCTATTTATGTATGACAGAATGAGTCTTAATTGGAGAATGAAAACAGTGTTCTTATCTATGGATATACTTATATTTAGCCATATAGGGGTAATTATTTGTATATAGTCCTACATCCTCTCCAAGTTCCTGATTCGATTTTTATGTCCCCAAAAACTGTCATTATATGGTTAAACAGAGTTAATGTTTCATGTACTCCCTTCCCTCAAAAAAACGAAATTCACTATGATGAATTTATTTCAAACCTTGACCAAACATGACCCCTTATTTGGGACTTGGGAGGGGCAAAGTATCTCATAGAAGTACCTAGTGCAAATGATTAGCACTAAAATACTATAATAGTGTATGTACTTTTGAACTCTTTCTCCAATAGGTTTTTTTTTATTCAAGTGATTTTACATGTTTTTCTTCATGTCCTCACATGCATGCCAATATCATCTGTCATTCAGTTCACCTATATTTAGATCCATTCAAATTGAATGTGGCTCTATTTTTATTTCAGATGATTGTGCCTCATGGAGAACCAATGACCATTGAAATATTCTTGGCATGGAGGGAAAGATTTGAGGCAGAACAGGCCCTCGAAAGAGCCAAGTAAATAGAAAATGCTTGTGTGGCTCACTCATAAGCCTTGCAACCAAATCAAGAAAATTCATATGTATGTTATGGACCCCTATGAGTCATCACTGGTCCTTATCATACAGTTTTAAAAACTCGCTTCAAATGCAGTTAGCAATTACTCCTAGTACATTATGATGATGGTACACAAATATTTGTCAGAGGATGAAGTTTCCATTAAAGTTGTAAAGAACAAGGTGAATAGGAGGGCAATAAATATTTTGCCATAGAGTACACTAATCGTTTATTATTTCGTAGTTTATTGGATTTCAATCTTAAGCTTCTAATTTGTTCCTATCAAGATGGCCATCATGAAAGTAGCATGCATTATATTGTAATTTGTAACAAGACTATAATACTGAAGCGAAGAACATATAAAGCTAACCCTTTTGTTCATATGCATGGATGTAAAAGTTGCTTGCATTCACGTTTGCTTGTGTGTGTGAGTGACGATTGTGGAAGTCATGATAAATAAAAAAAATATACAGCTTAATGCCAGATTCAGCACTTTCAGCACCCAAAGAGCATCTGCGGTATATCTTTCAGTACTTTTTTACTATCTTCCTTCCAATGCACGCGTCTAGCATACTATATTAGTCCTGGCCCGCAGGAGTTGGGCCTATGCATTTATTTCATCAAGATTCATTGGATCTTGAGCACTATTTTCCAATGCTATTTGATCCAAATCTCATTGACCGACTGACTCTTTTCTTATGGAGATAAATAAATTCGTAATTGCTATATTTGTAACGCAGAAGATTGTATGGAAAAGGATAAAATGCTTAGGAAAATAGTTTTTTATTTTTATTTTTTACGTTCCATTTTACATTGAAAATATGAAAGAAATTCAAATTTAATTAAAAAATTTCAAAAATTCACAAAATATTCATATTTCTTATACTATAAGTATTTAAATGAATCATAAGTTCGGGCGAATATCTAAATTTATATGAGTGAACCTTTTTTATATTTTCCCCTACATTTTATTTCCTTTCAAAATTCAAACATTAGCTCTAGTTTCCTTTTTATCCTTTCCCTAGCATCTTCAGGGTTCCAATGTGACCCTATATACTATATACCAAGGGACCTTATATGTGTTCCCTTTCAAAGTCATAATGAAAATAATACACCAGGGAAAACCTCTATGCTTTTCTTTTTTTACCTAAATCTATTTTGTTGTTTGTTCTGTACAGAAGGGCGCAACGGCTGTCACTGCTGAAGAGTCTGATGAAGGCGAAGAGGATATTGATTTTGATGATGAAGACTTTGAAGGTCACTTCCAGCTTCACCTACTCACTTCGGAGTTAATAATAATAATAACAATAAGAATAATAATAATATAACATTAGCAACAACACTAATTATATAATAATATACGAGTAATAATTATCTCGATGATCAAGCCAAATTAAATATAAAAAAAGTAATAGTTATATTATTATAATAATGAATAATGATAGCAGTGGTAGCGTATGGGTAGTAATGTCAATTGTCAACGGTAATGGTCAGCGGTAAGACTACTATGGAGTAGTAATAATAATAGGGCTAAAGGGTCAAATAGGCCCTTGAACTAACTTAAAGTGTTCAATTAGCCCCTTGTGTAGGAGGTTCTGCCCGGTCGTCGTCAATTGAAGTGGTTCCCGGTCGAATTTTTTGATGAAATTTTTTGAGCATCTTCTTCATTCAGTCTAGTTTACTCATACCAAATTTCAGCTAAAAATTCAACCGGGAGGGCAATCAAATGATTTTTTGAAGATAACTGCGTAGTTAAACAGCGCAGTACATTTCGGAAAATCATTTGACTGCCTTCTCGGTTTAATTTTTTAATGAAATTTGATATGGGTAAACTAGACTTAATGAAGAAGATGCTCAAAAAATTTCATCAAAAAATCCACCGGGAACCTCTCCAATTGGCGATGGACGGGCTGAACCTTCTATATAAGGGGCTAATTGAACACTTTAAGTTAGTTCAAGGGCCTATTTGACCCTTTAGCCTAATAATAGTCTTCTTTGTGTGTTTTGGGTAATCATCATTATCATGAATATAATACTAATCATCCTATATATTTTTCTTCTAACTAAAATTAAAAACCAGTTTTTGTGTTTGCAGTGGATGAGGATGACATGCTCGAGCATTATCTTGCTGAGAAAACAATATCACCCTCCAATTCGTAATTTGTAATTGTTGACCAGTTATCATGTATTGCTCGAAAAACTATCCAATTCTTTTGAGGTAAGTTTTTTTAGCTGGTAATGTATCTCACTCTGGTTCTAAAGCTTACACTATTGAGAGAGAGAGAGAGAGAGGGTTGGGGACTCATCCTTGATATTCCCTCATTTTGAATTTTGATAATCGTAATATTCGTCAAGAATATTGAAGATCAAACAGTCACATACTATCGTATATCACTGTCAAGATA